ACACACACACACACACACACACACACACACACACACCCTGTGGTGTCCTGTGGATTCCAACTCACAGTGACCCTGTAGGATAGAGTAAAACTGACCTACAGGGGTTCCAAGACTGTAAATCCTTAAGAAAGCAGACTGGTGGGTTTGAACCAGCAACCTTTTGGTTAGCAGCCAAGCACTGAACCACTGGGCCACTGGACTCCTGGCTTTGTACGTTAAAAAAATAAAACGTAACAAAAGTCCACTGCCATTAGCACTCATTTCCACCCCAGATGGGGTTCCTGAGAGAGACTGGACAGCTTTAGGAAAGCAGACAGCCTCGTTTTTCACCGTGGGAGTGGCTGGTGGGTTTGCACCTAGTTGGTGCTTATTGAAATTGAAGTGGAAATGAAAGAGTTCAGAAGTCTTTGTGTGTGTATGTTGGGGGTGGTGGTGGTGGTGTGGCATTAGAATGCCAGGATGTTAAAGACAGGGGGGAGACCTTGACGACCTGGATGGGGGCCGGGCCCAGACTCTGCCCTTACTGTCCGACAGCACTTCATATGCCTCCGCCACCTCCTTAAACTTCCTCTCAGCGAACTCTTTATTATCCGGGTTCTTGTCTGGGTGCCATTGTAGGGCCTTCCGCCGGTACCTGCAAGGAGGAGGTTCCCAGGGGAGACTCAGCACTTCCTATTAACTTATCACTGTCCTGACACCACTAGGGTCTCCTCCACCCCAGCTGCCAAGGCTGCCTCAGTGAGCAGGTTTTAGCGGGCTCCCTAAACCCTCCTCGGGGCTCAGGGGGGGCTATGCATGGCCACTTTGCCAGGCCACTCGTGAGCTCTCACTTTGAGGGTTGAGCTGGGGAGAGGACCCGTGTTCTACTCGCCCCCCTACACGTGAGCTGTTCTAGGGGCGCCCACCCCGTTCCAAGGCCCAGGCTCTCTCCCTGGCATTGCGTCTGAAGAGCCCCATGCTGGGGGCGGGCGGGAGGCACTTACGCCTTCTTGATGTCGTCAGGGGACGCACTTCGCGGCACGTCTAGGATCTCGTAGTAGGATGCCATGACAACTCGGCGGCACTGCGGCGCCCGGCCTCCCTCCGACTGCAGGAGAGGAGCGGTCAGGCAGAAAGCGCCAGGCGCCCTGCCGGGGGTAGGGGGCGGGGAGCAGGAGATCCCTGGGGTGGCGGGGACGTTCCCCGGTGACTAACCGCGGGGCTTTGGTTAGGGGCGGTGACTAGGCTCCCTCCGGCAGCCTTATCGGTCCCCACACGCCGGGCCTCCCTCCAAAGGCCGGGCCTAGGGGCTATCTCGATGCCCAGGTCCGGGGAGCCCTAGGGGAATCC